TTGCTGTGAAACTTTTATGATTCCTGGTTTTCCTGGGTTCCTTTTGACTCTCATAAATCCCAGATACACGTACAAATACATACTAAGTAATGGTGATTCTAAAGAATTATCACATCTGAAGGTGAATACAGGAATCCTTGGTATAGGAGGTGTCATTGAAATGGCAAACAAAAACACCTAAATGACACTTAGGATTTGCAGGCAGATTGACTCAATATCAGACGGACACTGATCAGGAATCGATTGTTTCTCAAAATGTCAGGCCCCAAAGGCCCAGCAAGGGTGGTTTTTATGGAATTGAAAGGAGACTATCAGAACCAGAGTACTTGACTATGTTTAACTGGATTTTACAACATGCCTCATAGCGACCAGCTGTGCATCACAGTGACCAGCCGTTTCCAAGATGCAGGAGAAAGCAGAACTGCAACAGGAACTGTTACCTGGGCAACCAAAGCACACCAGCTGGCTGGGGAGGGGCATTTTCTACTTCATCAGAAGTAGGATGTGTCACAACAGCTTTGACTCACTGAAATGGGACATAGCATTCTCAGAGAAAAGGAAGAACGAACAGGCAAGAATGACAAACTTTTAAAGCTGGACAGCTATGGAGCTGCCCAGGGTACACAGGAGCCGGGCTGCTGGGTGCTGGGTGCTAAAACCTGCCTGTGGGATGTTTAAGTGATTGATAGTTCCGGGGCCAGCAGAGTGGGTTCAGTGGGCCACTGGTTAAAGTTAGAACAAATAAATGGCAGTTCCAGTGACACTTAGGGTTTTGTTCTCCCCTTAGCTTGGGAGGGAAAAGGACTCAAAAACGCCCACAGATGGGTTTTTTGATACCTGTTCTTTTCTCCAAGCGGGAAGTAAAACATTACGTCAGTTTGCAGGTCTAGAGAAAGGTTTTAAATAAACCAAAGGGTCAAGGGACTCTCCAGCCTGCCAGCCCTTGAGCCCCACACAGTGCCCCTGCAGTAGCTGTCACTCTACTACCTTCATCCCATACCCCCAGCCAGAATCTTGCCTGGCAGATACACTATTAACCACATAGGTGCTAAAGGTGGTGACGGAAGAATAAATGGACAGAAAGGAAAAAGGCAATTCTTGAAAATGGCTTGGTGTTTTATGACTAGCACATCTAGATGTACGATTTTTTAAAAAACTGATGCAAAATGTTATGTCTGGGCTGGTGAGATAGCTCAGCAGACTATGCACCTGCTTAGACAAGCACAGGGACTCGGCTTTAATCCCTGGGCAGCACTGGCCCAGCCCCTGGGCACATTGAGCTGGCCACCAAGACCAGGCGTGGTGGCACACTGTAATCTCATTGTTGGGGAGGCTGAAAATAGGAGGATCACTACAAGTCCAAACTGTATAGTGAGACCCTGTAACAACTAAATACATTTTTTTAAATGCTATGAGCTTATAATTTCATAAATGCTAGCACGATCATCCCAGCCAAGGAAAATTACAAAGAAAAAGTGCTCTCGGCTGATCCGGGGCCTAAGAGGCAATCATGGCGCCCAGCCGGAATGGCATGATTCTGAAGCCCCACTTCCACAAGGACTGGCAGCGGTGTGTGGCTACGTGGTTCAATCAGCCAGCCCGGAAGATCCACAGGCGCGAGGCCCCGCAGGCAAAAGCGTGCCGCAACGCCCCATGTCCCGCGTCCGGACCTATCCCGCCCATCGTGCGCTGTCCCAGGTGCGACGCCACATCAAGGTCCAAGCCGGCAGGGGCTTCAGTCTGGAGGAGCTGCGGGTGACCGGCATTCACAAGCAGGTGACCCCGGACCATTGGCATCTCGGTGGACCCAAGGCAGCGGAGCAAATCCACCGAGTCCCTGCAGGCCAACGTGCAGCGGCTGAAAGAGCACCACTCCAAACTCATCCTCTTCCCTGGGAAGCCATCGGGCCCCCAAAAGGGAGACAGCTCTGCTGAAGAACTCAAGTTGGCCACCCGGCTGACAGGACCTGTGATGCCCATCAGGAACGTCTACAAGAAGGAGAAGGCCAGGGTCATCACAGATGAAGAAAAGAACTGCAAGGCATTCGCCAGTCCACACATGGTCTGCGCCAATGCCTAGCTCTTTGGCATCTGGGCGAAGAGAGCCAAGGAAGCCACAGAGCAGGATGTTGAGAAGAAAAAATAAAAACACTGTTGGGATCTTGAAAAAAGAAAAAGAAAAAGAAAAGAAAGAAAAAGAAAAAGTGCTATCAGGGCACAGTGCTCTTGGCCTTCACATGGATGGGTGGAATGCAAACTCTCGGAGCACTGAAAATAAAACCAGTCTCTGTGCCCAGTGGTTTTTACTGTTTGTCCCTACTGGAGCCATGGGGAAATGGGTAGCAACATGTAAAGAGAATCGATCTCCAGAGAGACACATACTTTTTTTTTCACACTTTTAGAATTTTGCTTTTTAAAATTAAATCTATTGGTACTATTTAGATGTACATAATGATCATATTCATCATAGAGAATTTGTACTTTTCTATGATATTTCTTGATTACTCTTTTTTTAAAAAAAAAATCAAGATCAATTTTAGTTTGGTAAAAACTCTCACAAAGTCAGATGCTTCACTTTCAGAGAGGTTAATGACCTTCTGGCCTGAGGTGCATATTTTAGAAAAGGTCAGTGTGAATCCACACGACAGAAAAGAAGTCGGAAAAGCCTTGCCACCTGGGCTTGGAGCACAGCTATCTGGCCCTTTAGTGCTTCTCCAAAATGCCTTTGTCTTTTGCTGAAATTTTGAATTGCCAGCTCCTAATTCCTTAGGTTTTAAGCTAAAACCTGATACTGCATGTAATAGGCCGCATCTGCCCCTGGGCAGGCTGGGCTGAACTAGAGCACAGGCTCCACAAATAGGACTCCACATTGGAGACCGGGACAGAGGGACAGCCCTGAGAAAGTCCTCAGAGGGGATGAGAGCCATCAAAACAGCATGGCTGGGCTGGAGAGATGGCTCAGTGGTCTAAAGCACCTACTTGGAACAAGCTTGGCAAAGCACAGGGACCACGGTTCAATCCCCCAGCACCACATGCCAGCCAGCCGCGCCCCCTGGTGGGCTGAGCTGGCCACACACACACACACACACACACACACACACACACACACACGCAATAAATAAATGTTAAAAAAAAAATTAAAGGAAGGGTTTTAAAAAAAAACAGCATGGCTTCTGGCTGGACCACGTGGGCCGCATACAGATGCTCATGGCAGGGGGCTTACTTTCTGATAGGACCTCCTGAATTTGAGCAGCTTCTTGGCTTTACATTTCTGATGCTGAGACATAGAATTCCTATCATAGTTGGCTGCCAACAGCTACCTGCTGGGGAGGGCGCACCCCAGTGACTGTGACCTCTTCGCCATTCCTGATAGGTCAGACTCTTGGCCCACTCTGGGAATATTTGACTTCCCTCTGGCCTGCGCTTGACTTTTGGGATCAGCTGCAGTTTGCCACAGTGAGTTTCCAGCCTGACTGTTCCGCCCTCCCTTTTCTCCTCAACACACACCTTTCCGGGCTTTGAATTGTTCAGCTCAGCTCTTCCCGGAGAGGGAGTGGCCCTAGGCTGTGCGTGAAATACATGCTCAGGATAAAGAAGGTAAGAGGTTATGCAAGCTCATGCTGAATCAGTTCATGTCCTAACTTTCTGCACATTCAGGGTTCCAGCCCAACATTTCTGAACATGTTGTGCCTTTTCTAGGTATGTGGCATAAAAATGTTTTGTTGCAACAATGTTTTTGTCTGCTTGCACACAACCTTTCACACAAAGGTCCAATGGAGAAAAACAAGGGGTTAGGAGGGGAAAAAAAAAAATGGAATGACTCTAAACAGAAAACATGGTTTTGTACAGATAGAAAACAAATCCTGGAACCTGAGACTGTACAGGGAGAGGTAGACAGTGAGGACGTTGTTGACCTCTGCTTGAGAACTGTTTCTAGAAGCTTCCCTGACTTCATCAGAGAAACTCCCCATGCTATCTTTCCTAGCTGCTGTCACTGCTCTAAAGCCTAACTGATTTCTGACCCTGCAGTCACAATAAATGTCACCCATACAATGTCATGAACCAACAAAACTATTCAGAGCTGACTGTCTCTGAAACTCTCTGTAAAACCAAGGACTGACTGAAGTATTTGGAGTGGAGTGAGAGTTTTAGGGTGGTCGGTCACACAGTGGGAGGCCACTTTGGGGTGCTTTCCCTTACTGCTTGGTCAACCTGTGTCCTGCATGGGGCACCCTAACAATCCTACATTCTGTTTCCTGCGGTGCCATATGCAGTCCTCTGGGATCCTACGTCTGTGTCTGTGAGTGGTTGTGGCAATGTCTCCCCCACGGAGGTTTCGGCTTTACTGGCCACAGTTGGGCTGCGCCTGGATTGCGAATGGAGCCAGAACAGAGAGGGTCATACAGACACTGAGGAGCTCACCTGAGTTTCTAAGCTAGAACCCTGTGGTTAACGGAAATTAACTGATTAAGCCTGGGACCTTAAATAGGGATATCTTGCTTAGATCTTGAAATGGTAAAGAACGAAATGTTGAGCATATAAAATACATTTATACTCTGGATTTTTAGTCTTTATCATAGTATTTATATGAGATATGACTCTAATTACAAAGTCCATACGATGTGTTTTCATGTGAACACGCCAGTAAAGGGCTCCGTACTATCACTACACCCTTTAAAAAAAAAAAAAAAAAAAAAAAAAAAAAAAACTTTAGGAAAAGCAAACACTGTACTACTAAGGCTCCTGCCAAGGCATCCCCAAGCGCTGTGGCTGCTAGGAGACGCTTTCTCCCCGCCCCTTTCCCCACCCTCTCCCTGTCCCGCGAGCCCTCCGAGCTCTTCATTGGCGGGAGGAAAAAGCCCTCCAGCCAATCAACGTCCTACAGGGGCCTCCTCCGGCGCGTCTTTCAAAGGCCCCGTTAGAACCAATGAACGGTTAAAGGCCGAACCCAAAGGCGGAGTAAGAAACAAGACAAGCCGCTGATTGGGTCCTAGAAGACGCCGTGCGCAACTTCCCCCAACGATGCACCAATGAGCTGCGGGGACAGGCGGTCTCGGGGCCCAGCGGCGGCTGAGCAGCGGTGTCGCGGAAGGAGGCCGCGCAGGTCTCTGCGGCAGCTGTCAGCGATGAAACCGGTGAGTTGGACGCGAAGGGGCTGGAACGAGAGGAATTACCGAGAGAGTTCTTGGGCGGTGCTGGTATCCCGCACCCGGTCGCGACCCGACTCGCGTGGTAACCGTCCTGTGGGTCCGGAAGGTGGCATTTCCCGCAACGGTGCAGGACAAGATCTGCGGAGCCGGGTCGCGACCTGGAGGAAACTGAGGCACAGCGGACTTACGTGGGGTAGCGGCCACACAGACTTAAAATCTTGGCTCGTAAAAAATTGCTTTAAGGGAAACAGACATACCGGCAAGCTGCTGAGGCCCTACCTGACTCCGACCACCTGCTACCAGGGTTGGCAGCGTATTGAAGGCCCTGCAGGTAGATCTAGAGCAGCTCAAAACCAGGGTAGACATTGATCGTGTCCTGTGATCAGCTAGGGACAACCAGGGCCCTGGTGGAATACAGCTTCGGTGCTGGGCGGGCACTCGGCGGTGACACTTACTAATCTCCGTTACATGGGAAGACGTCAACTGTCCTTGATCCTGGCCTCCTGCTCCACATGTCCCCAGGAGGGAGAGTAGTTATCCGATCCCCAGTTGGGAGCACGAGCAGCCCACGGTTTTCTTCCCTTCTCTCGCTTGGCTCTGCCCACCGGCCTCCAGAAGGCTCTTTCTGGTCACTCTGACACGCGGGAGCCCTCGATGTCCATTGAGGACGGGGTGGTTCACTCTAAGTCTAGGGTGAAGAAGTGACACATTCATTTGGCCATAGCTTAAGCCACATCTTCCGTTTGGCACCAGTGAAACGAACATTTTGATCTTTGTTCCCATTCCAGTATCTTACCCATCGGTTGGTTCCAACTAGGGAGAAAAGGGTATGTTTTTGTTTTGGTCCTTAAATTCCAACGAGCAGTCTAGCTGCTGTCCCTGGATCCTTGGCCACAGGCTCTTCGCTCACCCTCCCTACCACGCTGCTCTGCTGTATGGGTTTTATTGTTTTGCTTTGCTTTTGAGCCTTGGGACAAATAGAACCTCTCCAGCTGAGTCTTTGCCTCAGCCAGTACTTTGATCTCACAGTTCCTGAATACAAAAGCTCTTTCTTTGCCTCAGTTCCTTAGTGTCTTCTCCACCGGCCTAGAAGCCTCCTTCTCTTCCTTCAGAACCCAGTTTGAGCCCTCTGCGACTCCTAGCTGGTAGGTCCCGCCTTTCTCTGCTCCACAGCGCAGGGTTCCTGCTTCCATTCCTACACAGACGTTTCTCCTGCAGTCCCGACAGGACACGCACATTGTCCCTACAGCTGCGCATCTTCGCGTCTTCACAGCTTGGCAAATGAGAGTCTAAGAAATGTTTGGGAGGGCTGGTGAGATGGCTCAGTGGTCTAAAGCGCCTACTTAGAACAAGCTTGGCAAAGCCCAGGGACCACGGTTCTATCTCCCAGCACCACATGCCAGCCAGCCCCGCCCCCTGGTGGGCTGAGCTGGCCACACACACACACACACACACACACACACACACACACACAAAATAAATAAAATAAAAAAAAAAAAAAGAAATGTTTGGGAACTGATGATCAAATCTCCTCACTTGATAGTTGAGGGACACTGAGATCTAAAGCAGGTTATCTGAGCTGGGTGTGTTAGTGTACACCTGTTGTCCTAGCACTTGGGAGGCTGAGGTAGGAGGATGACTGTGAGTTCAAGGCCAACCTGCACTATGTAGTAAGGCCCTGTCTCAAATAAAATAAAATAAAATGAGGTTCTATCAAAGCCATGATTAGAAACCGGAGCTCATAGGTACTAGGCCATCTCTCCTTTCACTGTGCACTGGTATAACTATTAATAGGATGGCCAATGGGAATCATTTATTTTTGAAATTGCTGGTGTGTCTGATAAGTCCAAACTGACAACTGAATGAACTGCAAACAGGAGTTCAGTGGGTGTTTAGGCAAAGAGCAGCTATGCTAAAGGTGGATGTCAGTATTCTTTACAGCTTTGTAACACAACTGTTCTTTAAAGTCTATTTCAATACAGACAAGTGAGTTTGACTCCTCAGACGAAGAGCCTGTTGAAGATGAACAGACTCCAATTCAGATCTCATGGTACGTTAGCCCTTCTGACCGAGAGCTAAGATGTTTCATGTTATGCCACAATCTCTGTAGAGTCTAGAGTGCATACTGAATTTATTAAATGACCTCTTTAAGGGACTATCTGTGATATAGAATAAGGCTTTTAAAAACACAGATATCATAATGGGAACAAGTTAAGGGAAGAGTAGAGATAAGATTTTGAAAAGATCTCCACCAAAATCTACTTGTTCTTTTTAAGACAAAAATAGTGTACCAAATATCAATTAAGTTATTAAATCTTAGATAATATAACTATTTGCCACAGCAGACATTAAGATAAAAGCCACAGCCAGGCATGGTGGTGCACACCTGTTACCCCAGCACTCTGGAGGTGAGGCAGGAGAATCATTGTGAGGCTATGAAGTGAGTTCAAGGCCAGCCTGAACTACATAGCAACATCCTGCCTAGGGAAAAAAGAAAAAAAAAAAGTCAGAGATAGAGAGAGAAAGAAAATAGAGATAGAGAAACAGAAGAAAAGTAATCTTAACAAATTTCTCTTTCCAGGCTACCCCTGTCACGGGTGAATTGTTCGCAGTTTCTCGGGTTATGTGCTCTTCCAGGTAGGCAACACTGCCGTGGGCTTCCTGTCATATCCTGAGGCCAGGTTTGGTCAGCTAATAAATCATACTGTACATTCAGAGAAGTCCCTAGACCAGCAGCAGAAGCTCGCTCTTAGAAGCCCTATAAAGGAGCTCAGACCTACTCTTCGACCTTCCAGACGTGCTGTTAGAGCTCTGTTTCTGACTTAGCTATTTCAGTACAACTTAAGCCCTACAGTACCAGTGATGCGGAAGGCTCTGGTCAGGTGCATGTTACAGAAACACACAAAAAGTCCCGGCTGAGGAGTTCCTTCGGCTGGGATCTATGGATCCCTATAATTATGTTCCTAAGAATCTAAGAAAGTAAAATTCACATTAAATTGGAATTGAAACATATAAAAGAGCGCAGGGTCCTGAGTTCAATTCCAGGTACCACAAAAAAGAAAAAGAAAAGAAAAAGAAAAGAACACAAATGATCATATGGAGTAACTTTCCAAAGTAGCTATATATGTATCTAAAAATGCCCGTTAAAAGTAACTAGATGCTGACTCTTTTTCTTGTTATGTATAGGTTGCAAATTTAAAGATGTTAGAAGAAATATTCAAAAAGATACAGGTGGGTATAACATGACAAAGCTGTATAAATAAAAAGCAAACTTTTTGAAAGTTTGAAAAACAAGCTGAAATTTTATTGTCAAAAGGAACAAACTATTGTTTTGTTTTGTTTTGTTTTGTTTTTTTTTTTGGTGGAACCAGGGATTGAACTCAGGCCCTTAGCGCTTGCCAGGGAAGCATTTATTCCACTGAACCATCTCCCGGGCCCACAAACTATTCTTACTATACAGAATAAATGGGGCCAGGGAGATAACTCAGTAGAATAAGTGCTTGCCTGGCAAGCGGAAGGGCCTGAGTTCAATCCCTGGTTCCGGAAGAAAAAAATTATATATATA